AGATTTACAATGCTATTCTGAGTGAGTTATTTCGAAAGAGAAATTTTTCTATTCTTCAAATGATACTTTACGAAAAACTAACACACTACTTCTCTATTTTTATCTCACAAATTCTTTTTACATAAGAAATAGACGTATAAAATACTGAACCTCCTGTGTTATAACAAAAATTTCAAATATAACCTGATAAAATAATGAATCTGATTTCATGCTGTCATATACGCAGGAATGTTTTTTTATTAATGTATAACAGCTCTAATTTCGTAGACAGCGAAAAACCAATAACTGTAAAGTGAAGTTGACATATTTTACAATTTTAATACATTTTCATTATACAGTTGAAATATAATTTTGTTATAATTTAAGGATTGCGTGGTTCTGCACGAATGTATGGAATGCAAATTTAAAAGCAATTCAACATTTTGAATGAAGTATTTACATAAATTGGTTTTAAAAAACAAGTTGTATAAAAATTTCCATAAAAGAATTTACCTGTAATCATTTTCTTAACTTCTTTCTGTGCCGTAGACTTTATTCGCGATTATTTGGCTGCAAAAGAAAACGAAAAATGAGAAAGAAAGCACAATATCAGCTGAAATTCTATTCTACAATCGGAAATGCTTTCACTATTTTATCCTTCTTTTTTTTAACATTTCGGTTTCAAATGTGTAAATTTATTCCACAATTACATTTGCCTATTGCTCAAATTTCGAGTATGGACTTGTTCATGTGAAAGTTCAGGATATCACTTTCGTAGCTTAACATGGGATTCAGATATATTCTACAAAATGAGTTGTTTAAAAGAAAATAGCTAAAAGTTCAGTTCATTCATGATTCATTTACTACCTCAAATTTCCATTACATCAACTATTTCATTGCTATCTTTTTTAGAATAAAATTTTTTTTTTTGAATAAATAAAATATTTTGCAAATTTCGAAAATATTCACATTTGTTCAACAAATTCTTCCTAAAAACTCTTATACTTTCACGACGATATATATATTTATTTATTTATTATGCTATTATAATATTCAATTTGAAATTAATCTTTTTCAATGCTTCATTTACTTCCTTCATTTTCTCGTCTTTTTGAAGTAATAGTTCCTACTTGGCCGATTGCTGCACATTGTAAGGAGTGTTTCTAATGTTCACCATTTATTATTAAGAATTTATTGCAATGTCGCTAAGCCAAGTATTGTTAAAGAAGAAACATAGCATAGATTTATCATTCATGCCTAAATTAATTTAAGAATCATAAAATATCTTCATATCTAAAATAGTCGATAAGTAAGGTATATCTGTTTTTTATACCTATTGTAGCGTCCTGATTTATCAGGCATTGTTCTTTTATACTTTGTCTTCAAATTTAAATTCCTATAAATCCTTTTCTCTAATGTATTTTAAAATGTGTAGAAAAGTTGCTTTTTTTGATGCTTTGCATTATTGTATGTTATCTGTCATTTGTGTGAATATTTCTTTATTCTTTCATGTCACTACTTTTTGATTGCCACTTATTAATTGATATAGGTAATGTTTGCGAAAAGCTCACATGATCTCTTTCACATTTCTCCTATATTTCATTCAAAACGTTCTCTGTTGCAAAATTTACATACATTTTACCCAAAAACACAATATGAATGCAGCTTTGAAATTGAAAAATTTGTTACATTCTGATATTATCACTATATCCTAAAAGATTGACCTACCTTTTTAATGTAAGTGATATGTATCATTTATTACTTGTTGATTTAGGCAAACTGATATTCGGAACGACAATTTTTAATCGAAGCATTAAATTAAAGGTAAGATTGTATAAGTGCATGAAGAAATTTGTTTAATGAATTTGCGCTATCATGAAAATTAACTAATTATTTATACCAGTGTGCCATGTTATCTGATGTTATGTTACTGGGCGTTATCGATAAATTGTTGTTATCGTTTCATAAATGATTGGTTGTTACAGTTTCATGGGCAATTATCATTAGTTTAGTTTTTTACCTTCTCAAGTCTTTATCAGTTACAGCAACATTATAAATCTTATAAGCGGTGATGTTAGAGTATCTTTTCCAAATCTTTTTTACATTTTAATATTGCCAAATTTTCTCTTAAATTTTTAATACTAACAAATTTCCTTTCAAAAAAGTAATAAATCCTAACAATTAATTTTATTCAATTAAATTAGATGAAATTAAAAGATTTAATATAATTTGCTTTTTTCTGTAATTCTTATTATTTAAACAAAATTTAAATATCTCAAATAAAACTTCATTTTGGATCATTTTTGGAGCGTGAAATATTCGTGACACACGATTACAGATGCAAAAAGAACTGCACAAACATATCATAATTTATCTTTTAGAACAATTACTTTGATGTGTTTTGCTCATTAACATAAATCTGATTTTGTATCAATTTTTTCCTTTTGATTAACTAAATCAGCTATCAATGTTCAACGTTGAAATATTCAATTTTAAATACTCAGAGACAGAATCCTGAATTTCTATCAACCTTTCAGTTTTCTACACATTCCTTCGCTATTTCACAAAATTCTTTTTTTTTTCAAATCTTTCCTCAAATATAATATTTCACTGTTTGAAAGTGTTGGACTTCCATACAATAATAAGTTTGACAATGATGTAAAGATGTTTTGAATGAATTTTAGGGGAAAATTGAAATAAATATTCATCGTAAAAGAAAGCATAAAATGATGAATTAATGCTATAAGAAAAATAACGATTAGAAATGCTGTCTCTAAAACACGAAAACTCGGATATCTTAACATCAATAAACTTTATCGAACTCTAATCAATTAAAAAGAATTGTCAATTCTTGTTTGCTGAAAAATAATATAATTCGCGGTGTTTTACGTTGAAGAAGAACTGAGTAATTCCTTTTCTACTCCCTATAACAGTAGCAAGTACAGCATTCAATAACATGAATCAGTCTAAAAACGTTACCGATCAAATTATTTTATTTTAATCATTAGGCATTTCGAAATTTAATCAATAAGTTTTGTGAAGTCTTTATTATATACTCCTATCCGTCATTAATTATGACGGATTTTATCCTTCAAATTTCATTCATAATGACAACGAGCAGTAACGACAGCAATTCCGTTTCAGCGAAGGATATCGCAAGGATATCGCAATGTTACGATGTATTTGTATACTTTCCCTATATTCTACATTGGTCAAACTATGAAATATTGCAAGAAATCTGTTATTTATGCCTAAATTTTTCTTTTATATTCAGCCCATTGGAGATTAATTTGATTTCAAATTAATTTAAACTACAAAATAATGCTAAAGTATCATATATTGCCAATGCTTTTTACATTTAAATTAAGTTTAATCTAATTGTTCCTTTTTTTTGAAGTGGTAATATTACTTCTGATCTATTTCCCATGGTGAATCGGATTTCAAATGATTAACAGCATCTTTTATAATATAAAGCGAGCTAATAATGACTCTCAATTGTAATTAAAAGTGGTGAAAAAGCGATCTCTAAAGCAAAGATCGAAATTTAATAGAGAAAAAATTGACAGTGGTAAAATGGAGTTGCAGTTGATTTGAATTTGATGATTCTGTGCTTTTGACGGCGATAACAAAGCTTGTTTTTCATTGAAAAGAATTTGTTAACAGGATACTCTTAAATAAAAAGGCGTCATTAAGAAAGATAATGGAAGTCTAAAATAGCTTATAAAATAGTGCTCTCATCGCTTATTTCCCTAATTTATCAATGGTTATACGCTGTTAAATTGCATTTTTCTCTAGCATTATCATAACTTTCAGCATATTCAATGGTTAATCAATGCTTACACCGCGGCACGATAGATATGGCGCAGTATCAGCTCATAATTTTTATCATTCAAATAATTATATTTTGTTGATTAGGCTGTCGATAATAAATTGCAATTGATTATGCTATATTTACAACACAATTTCATCATTTATTTGATAGGAAATTGATGAAATTTGGAGCAAATTAACAGCGACACCGATTGAATAAATCATTTTCAAAGTCATTTGAAAAGATCAAACATTACATTTGTGAGAAAATTTATGTGCATATAAGATGATATTATTTAAACGTACGTTAATTGCTCAGATTAAAAAAATACTGCATTTTAGTTTATTTAGAATATGATAAATATAATCTTCTATGTTAAACATAATCGTATGGAAATATTCTAAGTAAGACTTTATATTGTATATTATTGAATAGTTTTAATGTGATAATTCATCGGCTAATTGAGGCTATTGATAATTGCTGTATGCGTATTTTTCTTACTTAAAAAAAAGAGAAAAAAAACTATATTGAACGACTAAAGTCGAAATGAATGTTACGATCAATGTATGAGAAAAGTCCAGCTGGATAATGATTTATTTACAACCTGTTCGGACGGATACACACAGATCAACAGCAATAATTCGTGAATTTGTACAATGTGTGCCTGTTCATCCATCCATCCATCCATGCATTTATTCACTCATCATTAGGAATGAAATGGAATTGAATCAAACAAGAAGAGATGAAATCGGCCGACTGGAAGAGAGAAAACCTTGACGTTGATGTATGTTCGCAATGAACAAATTTAACCTGGCATAATATTACAACTACCTTAAACAGCTTTCAATGTTTATTCCTCCTGATATTGTTGATGGTGATAATGTTTACTGAAATACTGTTGTCATAATAATGGATGCTTTTATCTTTCAACAATCATAATCCAATTCAATCTCTCAAGCATTGCCATTAATTACAATTTTTGCTACACTGTTGTATAAAACTTGTTTTTAAATATTCATCGCGGAATATTTTTAATTGTCTGGATGGATAGCATTCAACCTATTATATGTTATGCTTCCTCTTATTAGAGATACTCTTAATAGCATTTTGTTATCAATCTGTTTCATCTTTCGTATGCAACGTTTTTTTCGTCATATTTTTTCAATTATTTCTTCATCATAGATTGTTCATCAATTTCAGGAATGTAATGATGTATATTATGTTTATTATTCTATTTTTCACAATTCTGGATATACGAGTATCTGGAGATGAGAATGTGTCAACATTGTTATTGGTAATGTACAATATTTGAAATGCTTTAATATCATCCATTCATCTTTTTTTCTTTTTTTAGAAAAAGTTTTTAAATCGTTTTTTTAAGATAGAAATGACAACCATTTATATTTATATTTATAACTGATTAAGTATAATCATTGTGATAACAGCAATTTCCAAAACAGCATTAGTAGTATGCTGTCACAAATTTCAGAAATGTGTCAAATATCTTTTGATTTAAAATCCTTGCTCCAGACAAATACGAATGTCCACAATCCTGGTATCCATATGAGATTAATGTCCTCTGGTCTTGCATATCTACGTGAAATAGGCATGAAAATTGTGAATGATGAAATATTGCGAATTCAGTTACCAACCATTACAGAAGTTATTGAAGCTGGTCAGGTAAATAAATATAAATATATGTCTATACAATGGATGTTTACAATAATTATGATGGCACAAAATTAGGTTATAATAATCTATCAAATTAGATTATACTAATTAGTTGATTATGCCTTAGCTTAGTAATTGTTTTTAATATAACCACTTCTTTGCCTGCTGCCTCCATTTTTCAAAAGTGAATAAGAAAATAAAATCTTCCCACTTTGGTGAAACATATCGTAGCATAGTGCTCTGCGAAATAACTCTCAACTGCATCATCTCTTCATCAGTTGGTAAGCACCACCTCTGACAGGAAATAAATATATACTTTCGTTAAACGACCGATAATTTAAGTGGCAGATAAATTGTAAAGGGAGAAATTTCAGACGAGTTTCCTTTCATTTTACTCTTTCTTTTTTAAAGAAACCTCTCTTCGGCCAATTATTACAAGAAAACACATTGCTGTGAGTGATCGAACAATTTTAATAATTGCAGTAGTTCTTTTTTTGTATGATATTTGTTAAATTTTCAAAAATAACGAATACCTCCATCATCTTATTTCAGGTTTCAATATATGATGCATATGTTTCGAAATACTGGTCACCATCGGAGTATAGCCTGGAATTGTCACCGCCAGACATGTTTACATGGTCAATGGCTAAAATGCATATTAGGTTGGAAAAAAATATCATTTACTCTTTTATTAACTATTAAATAATAGATGGATTGTTTAGATTGTTGCATTCAAAACAAATTTTGATTTATTTCAACATTCAACACAACTACTTTCAAAACTTATACGATATTTAGAGCAGGAGGAGAATTCGAAGCAATATTCACTGGGCCATTTCTTATTCCAGCTGTACCAATTCGTGGACATTTCGAAACTTTATTTGGTCATGTAAGCTTAACAATGGCTGTTAGATTAGCTAGGTTCGTTCATCTCACCTATACTTAATACACGATCATCATTATCACTTTATTTTGAAAATATTGTAAAGTTGTAAACATATTTTTCAATATATTATAAAATTATGAGCATATTATATTTTTAAAATGTCAATTTTTAATTATATATATTTATAGAACGCGAGCTGGTGCTCCAATGGTACAATCTACTTATTGCCGTGCTGATGTTGGCTACGTTGATTTAAATGTTCGGAACACCGGTGTTATCACAGATTTCTTCATCAATACTTTCAAAGGTATAAAGGAAAAAGATGCATCTAATGATGCCGTTTCACTTTTACTTCCTTTTTTTTTATCAATCTATTAGTCGATAAATTATATTTCAGCTTTCATAATTGCTCACTTCAAACCGATTGTGGAGGATCGTATATGTCAAATGATAAAAAATATGATTAATAAAGATATGAATTACATATTAGCAACAATGCCTCTTCAGGTAACTTCTTAATTTTAATCAATAATACTGATGTTGAATTATATGCACTTAAATTTTGCGAATAAATATGACAAGTTATCAAGTAAGCTCTTTAGATCGATATCATGCTGTTCTTTTTCTAGAACTGTTATAACGATCATGAAAATGATATTAGGATAATCTTTCAAAATTTTTTTTTTTTTTCTTAACAATCTTTTCACCCACTGAAGTATAAAAGTTAATGTTATCAAAATTGAAAACCTAACTTTGATAAAAACCACAGTTTAGATACCTCTCAATGAAAATTCGATGGATATATTTGGAATATCTTTTAATTTACCAGCAAGAAAACCGCTTAGCATGTTTGACAAAAGTGGTGCTAAAAATATTACTTTATTAAATATTGTTAATCATTTACGACAGCAAAATCTTATCCTGGATTATCGACTCATTCACGACCCACTTATCGCATATGGAACTATTGAGATGCTATCACGAGGCGAAATTTCTTGGTCGGTCTATAAATATTTTCTATTGAATGAAGATATCTTCTAAAAATGCAACATGAAATTTTTTTTTCCAAATGATAAGCATCTAAACTGGAAATTTATCAAGACCGATATATTGAATGGTTTTCGAAATTGAGTGAGCAATATTTCTAAATGTGTCACTGTTCATCGGCAGATCGTGTATATGCTGGATAATCTTGCAGATATTGTGTCAAGAAGGTCCGAAGAAACTTTAAAAATTATTATTTAGCCAGGAAATGATAATGGTGAAATATTGAAATGTTTTATTTAATATCTTTTTAAAATAATTTTAAACCTTTTTTAAAACAATTTTCTAGAAAATGACAAAATATTTTGCCTTTCTGTTTCAGGAATGGTTATGGAGGAACTCCTTTCCATCCTCCGAATATCTACATTCCACCACCGAATGGTAAGTTAACTGACTGACTGTCCAGTAATGCCATTTCAAAATTTTACTAGTAGTCGATAGATTAAATTATATGTACTTTGTGAAGTTTGCGTGAGAGCCAATAGTTAATCATGTTTGGCTTGCAGTTATATTTCTAAGATAAAAAACATATATCAAAATAATCTTGATTTTTGTATATGTTTAAAAATAATTAACTACATATTGTTGTAAAATCATCAAAATAAGATCGATTCCTATTGTAATTTATGTTACAAATAGCTTGACCGGTACTTCACTATCATGATTAATTAGATCTGCAATTAATTACATCTGTCCACAATATTGTACCGGTTATAATTTAGATTCATCTTTCAAATTTTTTTATCAAACTTATTTTAACCACTTCTATTTTCATCAATTTATTTCTTTACACCATTCTCCCAATCAATTTCACATCTTTTTCCTCATAGCCATTTAGCAACATCCTATATCAACCAGTTAGAAATTTAAAAAAAGAAAAGAATGCACAATTCACGTGGTTCATGCATTTTATCAAATTTTACATGAAAAAAGAAGAGGTAATAGGAATGGTAGAACATTAATTTACCCGCAAGGCAAATGGATAAAACAAAATAAATTTCCTTTTCAGGTGTTCACATGGCAGAATTTATCGCAACAGATTATATGATCAATTCATTATTGTTTCATGCATATAAACAAAATTATATGGATTTTATTATTGGTCCTGAATCAAGCCCACAACTTAAAACTCTTTTGCTGACCAGTTGTGAAAGTGATTATTGCATTGGTGAATATCTTGGTGAATTGTCCAATCAATTTCCGGATCGTGAAGTTGAGATTCATTTTTCAACTCGAAAGGTTAACAATTTTCGATTGTTTTTTTTCTTCAGTCTATTTACTATTTATGTTAATTGAAAATTCAATCTGATTTATCATTCTCATCAAAATGACAGTCTTACTTTACTTCTCGCATTTTTCTGCTTCAATAATTTACTGAATAGCTTTGGCTGATAAAATAAGTGTTAAAGTATCGTTAATTAATAAATTTTTTCAAGAACAAAATTTTTTCTAGTCACCATTGCTCGTTTTTGTGGAAAAACGCGCACGATTTCGACTGTACGGCAGTATTAATATGTTTGTTAGACCGCGGAATTCGACGCAATTCAAAATAATGGTAAGTTTCATGTTTATATTATAATGCATAACAATGAAACAAATTAAGTGGAATGATTTGATAGCTAACATTTTAAGTTTTATACGGATAAATCATGTATGATATGTTAGAGTTGATAGCTGGATAGTCTTAATGGTTTAAAAAACATTGCTAATTTTTCGTATTCAGACAACAAATGGATTAGAAAAATAAAATTTAGATGTAAATATTCCTGAGTTTAGCAAAATTTTATAGTTGATTAGATTCTAAAATAAAAATACAAAAATCAAATAAATAATACATATAATATTAAACAATACAACTTTAGATCATACGAGCTAATACAAAGATGACATCGAACATTAATTTGTGGTTAAATCAAACAACGATCATTGGAAATGTTTCAATTGAAAATTTAGATTTCAAATTGCTTGAATCTCGTATTCGAGATGTTAATCAAGCAACATTTGGTAATCTCGGCTTTTTCGGTGCCGAATTCTTAGAGCAATTGCTTACTGATGTCCTAAAAGTGGGTATCATAATACCAACCATGAAAGGAGTCGTCTTAAAAAATCCAAAGTTTGTTTTTTGTGAGTATGGGCAATCTAAATATTTTCCTCATGTTTACCTGTGTTGAGGATATTTGACATAGAATGAATTCAAGAGACATTGATCATGCTCAATCAAGTATCTAAAATTAAAATTCATAATTAAAGAACAATCATATCTCGTGATCTGGACCATTAACAAATAAATTTATATAGGTTATCATTCCATGATCGCTATCTGAAAGTACAAACATATTTTCGATTGGATGAGGAATTCGCTAGTAAGCTTGTTCAAGGTGCTGTAAGGCAAACATTCAAAAGTATTAGCAATAATGGCGGTTAATTTCACTTATTTCATCCATCTGACAATAAAATAATGGTAAGGCTATAATTATAAAGTAATTGCATATGAAATATTTGAAATATTGATTATGCGAATTTTCTACAATCAAAATTTAGTAACTACGCATTATTAAGAATGCTAGAATTGCAGAATGTTATGAGATTGAACAGAACATGGCTAGCATATCGCCTAACAACTCGCTTGTAAGACTTGTGGATGATGGCCCAAACTAATAACTACAGTAGTTCTCCATAAATCATGGTCTGGATCGAATATATATTTTCGTCTTCCAGGTTTATGCTAAGAAAATTGTGATAATTTGAACAAGATGGCAGTATTAGAATGCATCGTCATTGTTTCCCCAAAAAAATTTCAACTATTCCTAGGAAGATCTTCATCTATGATATCAACGTATCATTCATTCCTTGGATATAGGATTTCGATCGTGTACACATTGTATCACAATAATTTATTTATCTTTATCTTAACTTTTGCAAGTATTGCTGTATGCTAGGTTTGGAATGATATTTGTGAGAAATAATAAATTTTGCACACATCTTTATGTATCTAAATTTAATCCTTTTAAGAAATTCCTTGTAATACATCATTTGGTTAAATCCATTAAATAACTTTTATTAGTGATATATTGCCGTGTCCAAACCTATGCTTCATTTCGCATTTCCGGGTGCTTTAATAACTGAAGATGATATTTGTATAATAAGTGATATGATAACCTCACTGTTACGAGTATTCTTTTTATGGAATACTTCGACCGGAGTGAATGCTTTAAAATTGTAATTATAAGTCCGTCCGATACTTCACTTATAGTAGAAGACTTATTGTTTTTTTTCTTTCTGTACCTTAAAACGTTGTAAATCCTAAATTATAATTTTCATTATTTCAGGATGCAAATAAAAACTATGATTTAATAATAAAAGTTTTAACGAATATGATCGAAAAACGAAAGAAACGATTGAATATCAAAAAAAGAAACAAAAATAATTCACAATACAATGACTCATGTAACTGATCGAGTTATTAAAAGCACCGCAAAAAACGAATAAACAGTACAGTGTACCGCGCAACATACTTTAACAAATGAGTTCAGACTCTAATGTAATACAAGAGAGCTAAAACAGCGGATCACATATATTGTTACATCCGATCACGTCGGCTGTTAAAAATGAAACGATTTTATTTTTGATAATTTTTATGATCGCTCAATCATTAATATGCCACAAAACAGAACGCATAGCAATCATGCATATATCCAAATAGCAGTAATTGACATAGAAACAGTTCTTTGTACCAATCATCCAAGCATTATCACTTTAGCAATTAAGCTTCGAATTAAACGCAATTTACAAATAAGAATGAAACAAGCAATTACAAATAGAATCCTGAAATATTCTGTGCTTATCAGAGATACATTTTATTCGCATATAGATTGAATTTTGTTACCAATTGATTTATACAATCAACAGATTGAAATCTTTGTTACAAGACAACAATCACTAAGCTCAATGATGAGAAGTTTGACCCCTCTCAATTTATATTAAATATTGTTTTCATAAAATGATGACCTTTACAATGAAAACAATTTTTTGCAACAGAATCAGACTAAAGATAATCAATCTCACTATAAAGGAGAATTATTTAAGAATTTTACGCATTTATTAACTCTCATTCTCTCTCCTTCACCTAAACTTTCATAACCATTATCCGATTTTAATATTTCACATAAGAGATTTAAAGAAAAAAAATATTTTTCGAAATTTATTATAAGTACTGAAGAAAATGCACATTTTGAGAAATGTTAGGATGGAGAAACAACAACAGAATGCAATAATGAATGAATGAATCAAGTAATGATCAGTCCTTAATGATAATTTGAGAAAAAGATAGGAAAAGTTAAGTCATACAAATCAAATATATATATTTGTAACAATAGAAGAATTATACAAATCAACTGGAAGCTTGAGATTATTTTTTTCAGATTTCAATTAAAATATCCACCCTTTTCATTCAGATCAGTTCTTAGAAACACCCACGTATTATCATTTATCATAGAAGCATTCCTTATTGCTGCTTGATGTTCCCTTTCCTCACGATCGTATATTTCTTGTAACATATCATATACTTTATCCAACGAATAATAAGTCTTCATTGTTTCAACATCCGGTTCCAATGGATTTTTACTTTTTGCCTTTTTAGAATTCGATCGTGCGTTTGATTCCAAAAATTTCGGCTAAAACTATCAGTTTATTGCAATATAACAAAAATTAAGTTTAATGAATTTTTTTCTCTTAAAATGATATCACAATGTGAAATTCATATATTTTTCTGGCTATCAATACCTAAAATGATACACTTCTGATTAAATGTAAATTTTGCCCACTTATGAATTTGTCCAAATTTTGTTTATAGAAACACTACCGGAGAAAGGTATATTAGAAATAAGGTAAGGTTTTACCATTCTCACATATTGTCATACTGAGCGATAATTTTTATTTTAGATCTTGCAACAACTATAACCTTATGGAGAGAAAAGAAGGAGTGGTTTTCAAATATATTAAGCTTCATACTGTATGCCGTTAATCGATGATCCGAGCAGTTTATTCAAAACAAATTTTCATTTTTGGGAAAAAGTGTACAGACATTATTCTCATACTTTCTCTATCTAACTTTTGCAAGTACAGGATGAATAAGATTCAACAGAAGAAAGCTTCTGTGATAAAATTATAGAATTTTTACTAAAATCAGATAGACAAGTAGAACCTTTGGTTGATAAGTCTTCAAAAGCTGATCAAAGGTGGGAAGTTTTGGAATAAGTTCTCTGAGATCAGCAAACAGAAATGACATGCTCTCTCGTTTGATACCAATGTATTCAGTAGCTGATTTATATTTGCGATTATAACTATGCTTGATATGTGCTACAAATTTTTGTGCAACATCTGAAAAATAAAGTCCGAAATAATTCCTCAATCGTTTTCTTCACTTCCTTTATAATCAGTTTCAGTTCAACTTTTTGGCCAATTTAATTCTAGAAACATTGCAACTTTTAATGACAGCTTCCATTTTGGCTATTTCAATTTTTTATATGATTGTTAAGAAATTGTTCAATGACTGAATGCTAAATGAGCTCTCTTCTCAAGTCACAATATTTCTAAGTAAATGAAAGCTAATATTGTTAATGAAATCTTTTAAAATATAACTTTAGGAATATGCTCTTTTTTTCTCTGTAATAACAATTATGTTGTAATTGAATTGCATACGTAATACCTCCTGTAGGATACTTCTCAAGAATTTTAATGACCATTTGAACAGTTCTTCGGTTTACTTCATTGGAAGTACGATAGAACTCATCCAAATTTAACATGTTTGTAATGACACCATCATTGAACATTAAAAGAAAGATCGAACATTCATTAATCTAAAATTCTACCATCAAAATAAAAATTTTCAAAAATTTATTCCAACAATTTCATAAAAGTATTTCAGTGCGCTTAACTGTAATACTATTCAATGGTACTTACCAGAAATCCGCCACGAATGACTGGTTCTTGAAATAGAATGTAATGCCTACCTTTTATGCATGGATTTTTTGTTGCAGCAACCTAAAATTTAACCTTAAATAAGTTTAATTTATGAAATTTAAGATAAAATCGGAAAAGTTAACAAAAAAAAAGAAAATTAATATTAATAGAAAAGAAAAAGCTGTCTAATAAAAAGGTCAAAAACTTTTTGATAGAAAAAAAAAGCATAAAAATAGTGATGAATAAAACAATTCAATGAAGGAAAAAATAGTGGAACTTACAGGATACCATGCAAGTGGTGGCTCATTCAAATACATCACATCCAAATAATGACATTTTTGGCGCATCAGAATAATTCTAAATGGATGATTTTTACATCGGATCGTTTTCCTTATTCATATCATTTCTTTTAGAGAATGAAAAAAAATTTTTGTTGATAAAGTTTATAGAAAAGGAGAAAAGGCAGAAAGTTAACAATATAGGAATGTAAAAAAATCTAGTGCAATGGTAATGATCCTATCCTCTCTTATAATGATAATGACCCTCTGTTATCATGATCTGCATAGCAGCATGCCGTATAAATGTGCTATTTCAAAAAAAGAAAAAAGGAAAAAAAAATGTAATCACACATTTTGATTACAATTTTCTATCAGACATGAATGGATAAGGTAAGCCATTTAGGATTGAATTTGTTTTGAAAAATTATTGGAGAAAATAATTTGATGAAATTGCAATTAATTGAGCTATTTTAAGACAAAATAAATTAAGCTTTCATTTTATGCTATTTTGCTTCATTAATAAAATGTAACTTCAAAAATTTTTATGTTAGAATAAGGCAGAATTCAATTAATAAATTACAAAATTGATACAATTGATTGTATTTTAAATTATTTTTACAAATTTGCATTATAGAATAAAAAGGATTACCGCGAATCACCGATACTACCAACGAACATCTTATCGCCATAAATAAAGACAACTGCAACTGAGGTATATGAAGTAACTGATTCGCCATGAGTTGAATACATCATGCTAATCTTATCGTCACTTTTCACGCTCGCTGCTTCACCGCTTTCCTTGTAAGCACTATTCTCTATATAGCCTATATCAATAGCTGGTTTTTCAGCGGCATGGAGAAATTCATCATCATCATCCCTGCGAGCAACTTCTATGGCAGTTGTCATAGAAGTTTGCTGGAATGTTAATGGTTTTTTCTCCGAAGGAATTCTATCATCCGACAAACCATAATCCAATTGTTCATTCCGATCTGTCAGATATTCACCTTCTTCAGTCCACCATTTTTCAGTTGATTTCGAAATAGGTACTAAAGGTGCATTTCGAGCCGCATACTTCTTGTTAACGTTCCTGGTACCACCTCTTCTTTTTGATGAATACATTGGCGCAGGAGCTCTGTACATTTGGTTGTTATATGAAGCCGGTTCAATATAAGGGTAAGGGTTTTCCATAGGGTATTGATTAGGATATTGAACAGACTGCTGATTAAGAAATTGATTAGGATACTGACCAGATTGCTGATTAAAGAATTGATTAGAATATTGAACCTGTGCTTCTGGTGGCATGAATCCGTCATACTGATTAAATGGAGGAGCATTTGGATTATTTTGATTCATATCAGCCGAATTTATGTATTTTCTTTTCTCGTCTTCATCCGCTGCCTGATCCACTCGTTCAATGATATCCTTGTAAAAATTGAGAAACTCCATCACATTCAACTTCTGTGCTACGGTTTCATTAATTGGTTGATTCATTAATATCGAGTTTGGTAGATTTACACCATTAGTTGGATTTACAAAATTTTCATTTGGTAGATTGTTCATCTTTACCATGCTATTGTTCTCATTTTTTTCATAAAATCCAAGTGATTCACTTAATCCAATTCCATGATATAAGCTTGTGCATGTAGGATTGCCACTCATATCAGTTCTATAAACCTTGCGTAATACTTCTTCCAGCAAACAATATATCTAAAACATATATTGGTAAACAAAATCAGAGCTTTCAGCAATTATAACTTTTCCATAACTCCGTAAAATACTTAAAACCATTGTTGCTTTCAATCATTTCGATTTTATAAGCTGACCATCGTGTTCTTCAAAATAGATATAAAATGAGTATATTACTCGTTTTTTACAACTTTACGTATTTAATTTTCACAATTTTCATTTATATCAAGTTCCAATTTCTTCGCTGATTTCTGTCTTACCTTCATTTATTGTAGGTGTAAAGCACAGAATAATTTCCTAGCATAACTTCAATCCAGTCATTTCGATTGATGGAATCTCTTATCAAATGGTATTCAGTACTATTGAATTGATGGCATGAGCGATGATCACTGTTTCCAAATTGCGATTAAATAGTAAAAATAATTAAATTAAAAAAAGACAATATTGACAAACATCTCGGTCACTTGGATTGTTGTTCAATATGTGATCAGTTGTACGATCGAAAGGCAATAAGTCGCCAACAATCTCACTTATTAGGAAATCAGCGTCTGCACCAGAAGCATGTCGGTTTACAATACCATATAATCGAACGTCTTTCCCCGAGCGATAATCGCTAAAATATTTATTGCTTTTCAGTTGAACCCATATATACATTTAATGCTTGAATTAAAATAAGTTTATCAATCAATACTAAAATTACAGAATTTTCAGCTAAGTCTTAAAGAGAGCAATTTTTTGTTTGTAAAAAAATTAGCATTGAATATTTCTTGTAAACGCATAGCATAAGAGTAAACGTACATCAAAAAAAGAGTAGTGACATTTGCATTTTGTGATCATTGGTCTTCCCTAATCATTGCATGAAATCTAAGATTACCAGAATTTCCCAGTAAAAATGAAATTTCTATGGTTTTGATGACTATTACAGTTTTTGTGGAATATCAAACCGTAAAAGTACGATCGTTATCAGGTATTCATGGATATTCAAACGATAACGGTAGCTTTCTTGAATTTCCGGTCCAACTATGCTTCCGCTCTATTCTATTCTTACTGTTTAGAAAACACAAAAACTGTTTTCGGAAATTTTTCGAGAAAACGGATAAAAAGGATAAATGTAAATTCTATTAAAGTTTCAAAAAAAAAAGATAATTAATTTGTTTTTATTGAAAAATTAAACGAATTTATTTATTTCTTAATTTTTAGACATATCAGAATTTCCTGATAAACAATCATTTTTTTGACAGAAGAGTACATACATAACTGAATGTTATACAACTTGATTTTCTATACGGAAATATTAGGTAAAAAAATCTTTACAGCAATTTAATTAAACGGAAAGGTTTGATGAGTGAAAAGAAAGAGAAAGAGAAAAGAGGCAAAAGATTAAGGTAAAAGAAGAAGGTAGAAGATAGTGAATCCTTTAATTTATCTTGTTCTTATTTCATTTACTCTTTTTTTTTCTCAGTTTGTATTGCTTCCTGCCATTTATATCCAAAGCACTCTCTATTATCCTACTTACCATTTGTATGCAAAATTTGCATGTGATTATGAGCACTTGCACGCGAAATTTGCATGCGATGTACCTATATGTACACTTGCATTATTCAATACTCTTACATTAGTTATTTTTTGCATATTGATAATAAATGTGCAAATTTTTCGTCATAATATGGTTCATTATAATGTCACTTCGCTTCATGACATCTTTTAACGAACGTTTTAATACGTAAAATATAATTTTGGAAATAAAATTGAAGGATTTTTACTTTAAGTATATTAAATTATCATTTGGTGATAACTTACACGTATGAAAACGTCTTATGTTGTTGTGCACATCCACTTGAAATAATTTTTCCGACTCCATAAAATGCTTCAGGTGCAGTATATCCATTGGAATGCTTGCATGCTTCATATACTCTATCGTACCAATGCATTGTGTGTTGCAAACCGTCAACCATATTATTCTGAGAAGAAATACAAAACTGAAATAAACAACATTAATTTTAACAATCATTGGTACAGTATTAATTATTACCTCAAATCATGATATGAAATCATTATTTAATACATTGAACATTACAATATTTTCATACCGTTGACGAGAGCAAAGCATTATCGTAATGACAAAAGCCTACAATAGACATTGCTGAATATCTCATCTCAGTGGAGCACAATCGAATCAACTTTCTAGACAAACAATCAAAATAGCTTAGAATAGTGAAAAAAAAAGAAAAAAGTAAATGAAAAAAGGAAATTATGGATGCCTCTGAATCTCATGACCTCCCAACTTCATCCTCGGATCATGATCTGAAGTTTGATTCGAATTTTTTTAATACAACCAATTTAATAATTCATTTTAAATCATTTTTTATTCCTAGAATTTAAATCATTAATTCTATTTATCTCGTAAGAAAACATTTAATTACCAAAAGATAAGAGGAGAAGTTAAGTAAAAGAAGAATGAAGATGTGAGAAGTTAAAAATCACTACCTCCGCACTGCATGGTACCGGAAGAGAACATGAAAAAGAACAACAATGATCTCACTTCATCCATTTGCAACACCATACTACTTTATAAGCGGAATTCTTATGGATAAAATTTCCACAACGAGAATAAATCAATATGCAAATAAATGATGATTTCCTGGAATATTCAAATTTTTGCATTCTTGTACATCACGACCACTTTCGTATAATTTTGCCTAACTCTTCGCTTTTTTACTATTTATACATATATTTGCACGTTCAGCAAATGAAATAAATCACAATGAAACGTAAAAAAGGTAAGAAAAATATTAGTGATAGGATGGATATTGAATGCATTTTCAATTGGTATTTTTATTTATTTAATTAATCTATTAGCATAATTAATCTATCTTAGCTAAAAAAAATTCAAATAAATTTCATTTTCAAATATTTGATATATTAACAAACATTCATAAAGAATTAAATTATATCAATAACTTTTCATCTTTAGGCTAAACAAAAATTTCGCTTTAGCTAAGAATTGAAATCGTTATATAAATATTCAAAAGATTTTCAGGAAATAACAAACTATATAAGTATTCGTTAGAAATATTATGAGAAAAAAAATATCGTTTTTCCGGGACATACTTATACCATACTGATTATTGGAATAGATAAACAATTAGAATTTAAAAAACTAGAAGATTAGTTCGATGATGTAATCTATGTTGTTAGTTAGTTAGTTTAGTATAAAGATGAATGTCCTCCGGTATGAAGATAAATTTGCTTGTCCGAAACTTCTCCCAGTCTCCATCCTCCCTCATCCATGCTTTTACAAGAACGTGACAAAAGAGTCAGTGAAAGCACGAAAGAGCAGATAGGCAAGGCTTTGTGATCTGTTTGCAGTGCCACAGTCCACACTGGTAGGGCGTCCTGAGTAGATAACCATCCGTCCAGACTACTGAATATTTTCAAAAATGATAAGTAGGAATTAGACTTACCGCTAGTTGCATTTCAGTCCTACCAGAAAGTAAAACACTCAATGTTACATGTTATCATTTCCTGTACAAAGCCAACGATTCCACTGATGCCATCATCCCGAATTATGATTTGATACCTAAAATATATATAAGTTATTTAAAAAACTTTCAAGACATTATGAAGTGATAAATCCATATAAGACATTAATTAGAAGCTTATACACTTTTTTTAATTAAAGATTTTAGAAGTATTTGAGCAAAATTTGAGATAAGGAAGAATTCAAAGAAGCAGGAAATATATTTAATTACAGAAACATGAACATTTCAACTAATCTTCATTCACAATGAATTTTTTGAACTCCCATACATTTACCTTACTCCAGCTTAAAATTAAGCACAAAGTTTCAGATACTAATCCGAAGTTGGTCGCTTGAATGCATGCAAAAGTATATTAATGTGTGCACGATAAGACTGGTAATGATCAAAAGACAGGAGAGCAACAGGTGACCCACCTGTAATTATGCAACTCTTTCGCTTTTTGCGGGAAGGAATAAATATTGCTCGTTTTAATTTTTTTTTTGTAGATTGTTTAAAACGCTTTAAATATAAAATTAAAAAAATTTTTTTACAAAATAGATATGAGAAGTGATGAAATTTATTGATAATACTTTCAGATCAACTGATAATACTTTCAGATCAACGTCAGTACCAAAAGACATTTGAAATTGCTGTTTGAATTTAATAAGCAAATTTTAAAGCAATTTAAATCTGACATGCATGCGAAAAAATGTCTTTTCATCGTTGCAGTAAAGTAGTTAAAGCAGAAGTGATCCACAGAATCCTGTGAAGTGAGATAATCATATATTTAAAATTTCCTTAAAATAGGTCTTTGCTAAATTTAGTAAAATTGAAGTTCTGTTTTTTTTCAGTGCATAGATGTAAGAATGTTTAATATGAAAGGCATAGAAAGTTATGTAACAATAAGCAGTTTTGAAAAAATCAAAACTTTTTATCCATTACTAAATAATTACTAATGATTCAACAGATGATTGGTAAATTTGTTGATGAAGTATCCTTGCAGCCAATCACATTTTACTATTTAAGAATTTGATAATATAAAAGTTGCATAGCTTTCAATTATCTTTCACTCAACCTAATTGTCTTGTATGCTATCATTATTGCAGATCGTCATTTATCCAAATTATAATCAAAGAATTTTTTTTTTTTAAATAAATCAATCCATTTATGCATTGAAATTAATTGACAGCAATTGTTGCTGCCACACATGGGAAGTTTTCTTGTGATTTTATAAATGGAAATGAATGTGATAGACAATTAAAATATTATCAAATTTATTGATAAATCAAATATTATTAACATCATATCATAGCAGAATTTATTGAAAAAATTAAATATTATTAACTAAATTTCGAATTTTTTCTTCATTTGCTATTACTTTAGCTTTGGTTTGAACAATAGCGCTTTTAACATCTTTGATTTGTTCATCTAATTGATTCAACCTTAACAACAAACTCTCCGATGATCCTTCTGCATTCGCTTTTCGTTCTTGCAAGTTATGCAAATTTTTTGCGCTTTCTAAACGCCATTCTTCCATTTCTTTAAACATACTCTCCACATCTTCCTGTAAAGTAATATAAAGAATATAGGGATACAAAAAAAATAGGGATACGCATTATACAATACAATGGATATTACTTGATAAACTTTTCTATCACTTAGTTGTTATCATTTATTCTCATCTTCTATCTTAAAATTACAATATCAATCAATAACATTTGTTTTGAATTTAATTTATTACAAAGATATCACCTTGAATATCATCTTTAACAATAATCATTATTCACTTCATTACAGTAAATAACTCTCTTTATCAATATCATATATCTATCAATCTATAGAATAAGTAAAGATAACCTGTGTATTATCAAGAAAACGAGCCAATAAATGTGTTGTTTGTGTTATTTGTTGCATAGTCTTTTGTAAATTAGCTAACTAAAAAAGAAAGAAAGTAAGAAATAATAATAAGACTTTCTTAAAAAAAATTTAATTAATTTTAGATTTTTGTTAGTAAAATTTTTAATTCGTCAATTCAACTAAATTAGCGATGAACATTGCAATTATGAAATGTTTTAGCCATGAGCAAGCATATTATTACTAACAATAGTAATGATAATAAGCTTAGTAACTAAAGAAGCCAAGAATGAAATTGAATTTCAAGATATTAGAGAACTTGACAAAGAGACCGGGTGAGAAGGAAGGAAGAGTGAAATTAATAAAGTGAAATATAAAACCTCTTGTTGTGACCTTGCTTGATCTTTTTCATCAAATACACTAATAGATACATTGTAAGCTTCCTTGCTTATTTTATCTTCTAGTCCTTTTTTGGTTTCAAGAATTTTTCGTACTAGGCCACCATGCTCTTCAGTAATTAGCTGAAATTGATTATGTACTTCAAAATGTTTAGGAATAGTCTCTTCTATAGGTATTAATGATGTCAATTTTATTGAGACCAAATAAAGTAAGACAGAGTGCTATAAATCTGAACATTCATTCCAGTGTGGAAATGAGAATTGTAAAAAAGTTGGATGGAAAGGTTTGAGCATTGATAGGGTAATTTAAATTAAATAAGGGATTTAATTTTCAGCATAAAAAATTCCTTCAAAAAAAATACATCTAATGATCATATTTAACTTACAGCAATATCAGCAAATGCTGATAATTTTTTTTATTTAAATTTATTTTAATTAGATATTAAATATTATTAACGTTAAAAATTAATCATTAATTAGATAGATACTTATGCGGATCTTTTTATATTCTATGAAAAAACATAACTCATCGGTGTTAGTTTGATCAGTTTGATCGTATGTTGGCTCAATTTCTACAACAAAATCTTCATCAGTTTCTTTTCGTTCACCAACAATAACTCCACTTGTTTTCGCATTCTGCAAAATCAGAGAAACAATTGGCTTGCGTAGGTTTATTAAGCTTATTAAGCAAAGTAATTGAATAATTGCAAGTTTCATTTCATTTGAAAAAAACTTACAACGTCCAGTTTTCGTTCAATTTCTTCCACCCATTTCTTTTTGATTTTTGGTGGAGCTGGTCGTGCAGCTGCAGTACCCAATCTATTGGCTGATGTACGTGGCCGTCCTGATGATGTTGAAAGTCTGGAAATAATCTTTTTATGTGCTTTAAATATAATAAATATGAATTTTAGGAATTTTTCGAAAATTATTATACGAAAATTATTATACTTATATAATTGTAATTAAAACAAATGAAAAGATGATAAACCGTAGCTGTTCCTTTAATGTTGCTGGTATCGATTGTTGGTCAATTTCATTTGTTAAATTTTCAGCAATACCACTACTGTCTTCTGTCTTCGTAGTTACTAAAAATATTTTATTATAATCAAACTAAAAAATATATGTGACATAGTTTCTGCATGAAAGTTACAAAGAAATAAAGCGCATGAAATTTTACAAAATCTGTTTTTGTTGTGGTACAAATGATTGGATAAGTGGAATATGAAGATATGAAGCATGAAGTAGACAAATAAAAATCGACAAGTATTCACTTCTTAGTATCTCATAATTCGAACATTTTATCAGCTGATGGTTTCATTCGGAGATATATCCGATTGTTGCCCTCATGAAGAACAAGGAGGTTGTGAAAAAGTACTGAAAATGAGATAATTGAAATTATGAATTTCAAACCGGGTGGTTCTTTATCAGTGTGAATCATTTGCTCCATTTTAATTGATGATGTTTCTGGTGCAATATCTTCAAAATGTTTTTCATCAATGGAATCTTTTCGTCCATTACGATCAACTGTTTGCTTGATTATCTCCGGTTTATTTTCACTTTCACCTTCTTTCTTTCTCTTTTCCTTACTTCTTGAATGTCGTTTCTCTTTTTCAACCTGAAAAATTCCTTTTTCTTTTCCTCCAAATTTAACTATAATAATTTCATTTCTGTATGTATTAATTTCTACAAATATTCTCACAACGATTTTGAAATTTTAATTAACTTAATTATCCCAAATAAACAAATAGTATTAGACTATCAAGGAGGCATCTAGAACCTTCCTGCTTTCATTATCACTAATTTTTCTTTCCATTCCTTTATTGTTCCGCTCTTTTTTACGCTCCTTTTTCTCTTTCCTTTGCTTTTCTTCATTTGTAATACTGTTTAACTTCGAATCACGAAATGCTGCTGCATCAATAGCTAATTTTTGCAGCATCTAAAAAACATTTCAAATGTTTCTTCTGCAATTTCATAAAGTCCCAAGTTGAGAAGAGAGCGCTACTGAAATCTTTTGAAGAAATGAATTCCTTATTTAATTGAAAATGATGATATGGACTGTTTGTTTCATTAGAGTTTATATTGATATTGATTGGTTATTCCATTAGAATTTATATTCAACAACGCATCGGATATCAAATCCAAAAGTCTACCCCAACATATGAACAGACCGATTACATTAGTTAGCTATCAACTATTACTTTGGAGATAATTCGAAATCACTATTTTACATACCAAATTCGTCATTTCAGGTTCTTTTCCAGCAATTATTTTAGCAACTTTCACATTTTTCAACGATCCATCATCGTTCAATGCTTTAATCAATGTCTTCAAAAAATTGGCTTTTGCCGTTTTATCTGTTATATTTGATGCATCCATTTCTTCATTTGTAAATTTATCCTGTACAAATACTACAGTTAAATTAATGTCCAAAAAATTAGTTAAATATCCATTAATTGAGTCTTGTAATAGTTAAAATGAAATAATCATTAACTGCAAAAGTGTCTAAATTATTGTCACTGGTAATAAATTTCCTTTATGCCTCAACGTTGTTAAATTTAAATAGGTGTATACAACGTTACTTCATAATTTGACTCTTCTATGCTATTAGGAATATGGAACTAAAAAAGCAATAGGTCATATTATTGACATCAGAATAAATATATAAATTTTTCCGGATGATTAAAATCAGAAATCATCTTGATTGTGTTAAATAAAGTTAAATCTCGACAATCTTCTGTTATCCTCCCTTTTATTCTTTTTAATTTGACTAGCGATTGATAAACGATATGATTGTTTGACTGACTTACACTTCTCATTTTTTGATAATGTTAGCTATTTTGCTGAAAATTCACTGTCCTTTATGATAGGTACCATTAAAGCATTGAATGTAAAATAAAATTTAGCACTTAAATTTAGTCACGCTAAATGACAGTGGATACTATTGCTAAAATGTAACGTTGAGCAATTCTAAATCGTTATTATTCTTTCATAATGATAAGAGAAAGTAGCCTAAATTGGTATGATAAAATCTTAATTCATAAATATGTTTTCGAAAACGAACCATTAAAAACCCTGTATTTTGAATTGTGACTTTAACAACATCGTGCAAGAAGCGAAATGGCGGTCGTTGTAGTAATTGATCGGTAAGAGGTGGACGTTCAATTAAACCTGCGAATAATTGTTTCGTTCTATCCGTATACATTTTGGACGTTTCTGGAAGTGAAAAAGTGTAAATAATGAAAAACCACTGAATAAGTCTTAATACCTAAGTTAAATTTCTTTTACTTCCATTTGTAAAAGTTTAAATTACATTGTATTTTTGCATTTTAATTTAAAATAGCAATCACAATTTTTAATTTTCTTTCACGATCTCAAGGAGAGAAAATATTTTGGAATGGTATTTACTTATGATATTTGCTTTCGGTGATTTTAAATGATATTTTTCTCGATGAAATAGAATTTAATAATATAAAATGCCAAGGTCGTTTAAATTTCATTATGCTGCATGCTTTAATTTGCAACTGCAGGCCAAGTGCTGCTTTAAGCAACAGCATCTTTTCAGAGATTGACTATCATCTATTTACTGTTGTAAAAATCAAGTGACAATGTCTGATGGATGGAATGAAGGAGGAAAATGTTAAAGAATAAATTGAAAAATTCAAAAAATTTTATTTCATTAACGTCTGCAATATTAAAAAAATGGACTTTACAAAATATTTTAGAGAAAATTAATTAAGAAATTAGTTAATTAGTTGATTTTTATTAGATAAGAAATTTTTCGAACAAAAGATTTAATTTTTAAAAAAATAGGATAATTTGAAAATTCATTCATAGTGTTTTTTTATACAACAAATTATAATTTGCTCATATAATATTGTTTTATATTTGCTTCATTTATACCAAATTAAAAAGGTAACATAAATTTACAGCATATCATAAAAACTTTTATAAGAATATTATACGTCAACCATGCAATACTGTCTTACATTCTTTATTAAATCAATAACGAATTAAATTATCAAAGACTAAAGTGATATAATTTCAAGCATTATAATAAAGATATTGCAGTAGAAATATTTGATGATAATTTATAGTGAAGGATAATTTTTAGTGGTAATATAATTTCAACTAATAAAGACATAAAAATTAATGAAAGTAATTGAATGCCGAAAGAAAGGTATCTACGTTACTATGCAACGCATTCTACCATCAAATACTTTCACTTCTTAGCTTATTCCGTTATACCTTTTCTGTCGAAAACGTTTCTATGGTAATATATTGAGGAAATATTTATACGCGTGCATACTTTAATGTGATGGATGGATATATGCTTGTTCATATCCTTTTTATAATTGTTATGTAATACTTACCTGAATTTTGGCAATGTAGGCATATTTCAGTAGAAATACATTTAATTGCAATTGTTTAATCCATTATTATTTTACTTAAAATTTATTAGCTACGAATAATTTGTGTTAGATAGGAACAGTTGATAACAGATATGTAATACTTTTCGTTTTATAATCAAGCCTGATATTAATTTTCCATTTGACGTTATAGTTAAAATAAGAGCTTTATCGAAGAAAATTAAATAAAATATAAATCGGCAAAACAACCAGTGTTAATTTGCTCGTTATGCCGGAATTCTATGTTGAATTCCGGAAAATCATTAATTAATCATAATATATTCCAATGTGATCAGATGATATTAAAAAAGTGAATGTTTATGAAGCTAAGCTATTTCATTATACACAGTTACACAGTTATTTCATTATGACTAGTAATATTATAATCGGTTTATCTTGAATAATCCTGAAATATTTTTCAAAAATAATCTTCAAAAAAGTAGAATTACATCTTACTGAAATAGAAGAGCATAATTGATGGCTGATAAGAAATTGAAAGAAAATTAAGATAGAGAATGGCATTAACAGAATTAATAAACGATTCACTGTAACCGATCGACCGAATGAGCAACCGAGACAATTATGCATTCCATATCATCATTTCATTTGAAATAGACAAATAAGATATATGTGGCTTAAAAAGTTAGATCAGAAGTTTGTTATTGACGGAATATTCAAGATCGATTTTACTCAACTTTTGTTATGCTGAGCCAACTTCTTGGCAGACATGGACAATAAGTACTATCAAACCCAGGAATTCCGGGAATTCCGACCTGGAAAATAGTAATAATGTGAGGTGATGAATTAATATGATTGCTTTCATCTTATATTCATATAATATATAACATTATTATAGTTCATTTTGCCTCTCCATCGGCGCCTTTTGGTCCAGGAGGGCTATCTGGCATATCAATTGGCCTAACTTTAACACTTACTGTTGTGCCTGGTTTCACCACGAGATCCGATCAGTCACAATGGACCACTTGGCCCAGGTGGGCCTGGTTCTCCAGGTATTGCTTGTATCCCTGGTAGCCCAGCTTCAACATGCATACCTGGTGGCCCTGAAAAGATAATTGTTATCAATCGTGAAGTTAAAAAATACGAAATCTTAAACAAAACCACTCAATTTCATAAAATATTCTCATGTTTAATAAAAATACAAATCCTGCGTTCCAGGATCACCAAGACCTGGGGACCTATTATTCCAGTACCTATTCATTCTCCATTCATTCCATCTAATCCTTTCGATCCTCGCCCACCTTGTGACCTTATAGGACCTGGAACACCTGGTAGATCCCACGGACATTTAATACATTTCCTATTATATTTCGTTAGAAACCAGGAATTCCATCTAATCCAGGAATTCCAGGTATACCATCTTCTGCAAAAAATTAATTTCAATCTGATTAATAAATACATAAATTGTAGAATTCTGGCGAAAGAATGAAAACAACCTCCATCTTCACCGTTATATCCTGGGCGACCTGATGGACCTGGTAGACATCTTGCCATAGTTGCACACTCTATAAAACAGCATTTTTCTATAAGTAATGATTCAAATAGAATAAAATAACAACAAGCTTGAGAAATATCATAATAAAAGGCTTAACTGATTCTTGCTGCAACATCATTTTGTAGAACATTGTTAAGATGATAAAATTGGAGCTAAATATGATTATTACAAATTTGACTGTTCCAGGTAATTCAGCTTTCAGTTCTAATCTCTTTGAATATAATTTATCAATAAAACTTATTGCAGCAAACTGATTGATTATCAAATGATTGTTTTCGTTGACGGAAAAGACTGCCATCATTATTAGAGCTTCGATCAGTTATTGATAATTTAGACTTTGAATTAGTGCTAAATCTACGGCTATATCCTTTGTTATATCCTTTATATCCTTACAAAACAGATTAAATTTACTTCAGGCAAATTCTGTAATATGATCAGATTTATCTTCAAAATTATTAGCAAATTTCATTTTCTGAACTGTTTAAATTAATTACTTATTCATCTGAAACGTTATAAAAGTTTTACTCATAACTTTCTGATTCCAAATTTTGTTTTAATTGTCTTATTTTAAATTTAACGTTGAAAAAAAAAGACAAAGAATCAAATATGCATTCTCTTCAAATTATTAAATTATATGATGTGATTTGGAAATTTCCAGAATGACGATTACCTTGAATTTTCCCATTTCGTTTAAAATAATAATAAACATATCGTTAATATCATCATAAATAATTTTAAAAAAAATTCTGCATGCAATTAGATGACCGATTCTTATAATTTTATTGCAAATTATAACAGTCAGAACTCTTTTGTCACTCATTAATGATTTATTTGAGTAATATGATGCTGTAAATTGAATGCTCATGAAAAATCAAAAATTTAGACTGAACTTTTGAAAATGTTACGATGAAACATAAAATTACATTGAGTTTCGCTGTTGCAATTTTACTGCAATCATCAAGTTTACTGCAAATGCTGTATGACGTAGATGATATGATTCATTGCAGTTATCAGAAAGTAACAAACTACAATTTATTTTGTTGTTTCGTACAATAAACCTCCTTGCTATTCTATCCAAATTAAACGCCTTATGAAATAGTTACCTTATGAAATCACTTAACTATCAAATAGTTCTGCTCTATTTACTAGTACCATAAATTAAATATCGTATCTTAAATGACTGAAATTTAATAATCTTTTTAACTTGCCGAAAATATAACTATGACAGTTTGATAAACACTTTCAATTGTCACAATGCTTTCCTTCAAAATTGACATATTCAATTTTTCGATAGTATCTCCTGATTATTCTTTTTAGTAATTAAAATACCTTTTAAATTTTGAAAACAAAGGGAAAGGAAATAATTGTAGAAGAAAGAGTTGAAAAAAAAGACCTATTGATGAAATGGCATAAATTTGAATGAAATTGAATGAATGCTAAATGATGGCGGAAAAAAGTTGTTTAAGAACAAAATCAAAACAAAGGATTTTGTTAAATGATAAACTGAAATATTACATAAAAAGAAAACGTCAAATTTTAATTACTTTAATTCATTTTTTTTTGACCTTCAATTTTACAGGATTTTACAGAAGGCTCAGTCAATATTTTAAACTTTTACTAAACATTAAATTAATTGGTGGAAAAAATTTTGGTATTAAGATATTCTTAATTCTTATTTTACAGTAATAAATTGGAACTAAAAATATTCCATAAGCTTTTTGCTTTATGAGAGTAATTTTTCCAAAATGGAAAATGAAATTGCTTTTTTTAAGGTGTATCAAAAAGCTATAATATGTCATAGGTAAGAAAGAAATAATTAAGAGTGAGACGAAATGTAATAAAGGTAAGGTAAAGTAGTCAACAAAATTACAAACAATATGAATAGAAATAGCTTCAGTGTGTAATTAATTCATTATTCAATATCGAAAGTTCGAATGATTTTAGAGTATGTATTGTGAATCATTTAATTGTTTTCAAAAGCACAATTCTTATTTTGACATTTATTGTTGTTGTTCTTTAAAAATTTTAATGATGAGACATTTCTGAGCGTATGTGTTATAGGTATTTGTTTGTTGTTTTGATTGTTAAATCTATTTAATTAATTTCGTCTTAATTAAATTAATTTCATTATGATTTTGAACAATTTAACATTGAAAAATTGTTGTTAGCTATTTTTAATTTTTTATTTTCATTTTCACTGATTGTTCAAATAGCTAATTGAAATGGATCAAATTCAAAAATGATTTATATAAAGCGGCATTTTTCTTTTTAGAGAAGTTTTCA